TTCATTCCAACACAGCAAAAGGATATATGACTCACAATGTAAAAACTCAGTTCTAGAAGAGAGCTGACAACAGGACTTTTGAAGACAGTGAACCCCATTAGGAATGGGGCTGATGGACAACGGGCATGAAGTGGAAGCCTTCAGTGCCTTGTTCATCCTCTACCAGGGAGGAAAAACAACAGTGTTACTAGGACTGAGTACAGAAAAAAAAGTTGGTTTTATTTTTAGGGGGTTTTTTGTTTGCTTGGGGTTTGTTTTTTTCTTTTCTTTAAATATGTGGCTTTGTTCATCACCCATTTACCAGAAAAATAAGTTAAATGAAGACCTCTTGAGTCTTGAGCAGTTGAGTAGGTAATGTCCTGTCAAAGGATATATCATGGCATCGACTCTGTTCTAACTTCAGTCCTCATGTTCTTGAGCAGTTGAGTAGGTAATGTCCTGTCAAACAAGATAGGATATATCATGGCATCGACTCTGTTCTAAATTCAGTCCTCATGCGCTGTAAGCAGCAACATCGACCGGTCCTTGGAGAGACTCAGCCCTGAGTTCTCTTATGTTACCTGTTCTGTCCACTTAGGAGATAAGGTCTGCGGAATAATTATGTGACTGGGTGTCCTAACATTTCCCTTAAGCCTTAAAATCTCTGTGCCAGACATTAAACATATTTCTTTCTATTTTAACATAGTCTATCTTCCTAAAAGTGGCTATGATTTAAAATTAGACCCTGCAATGAGTAGACCATGGTATTCTGTCTTTCTTTATTATGATGTGAGATAACTGACCCTTCAGTTACTGCCCTGCTGGGATTTTTGTAATGTCCTGGCATGTGAAAAGGTCCTTTTTTTGGTTTTGGCACTACGACTTTCAGAGTGGATTTCTTTGTATGATTATAAATACACACTATCTAAAAGCTGATTCCAGTGTAGGATTGCCCTATTTTGACTGAAGGAAAATTAAGGCTAAAGTTTATTTGAACACCCAAGACAGTCAGCATTTGATTCAGAGGTAAAAACCACCAGTAAAGTCTTAGATTTCTGGAAGAGATTTGGTAAGAACGAAGAAATTTCTTTCCATCATTTAGGAACATTTTAAGAACAGGCTGTTTAACTCAAAGATATTGTGGAACAATGATTCCACTGAAACTGCTGAAGTCTATTCAACTGATGACATGAAGCCTGACATGTAGCAATAGCAGAGCAACCATCTTGGCAAACCTAGAATGGAATTGACTGTTTTCAACATGAGATGATGCTCAGAGTCCATCACTGACCACCTGTGGGGGATAAGGTTGGTCTGAGGAGGAGGAGTGGTAAGCAGCAGCAGAAACTGCATTAAGGAACAAATACAGTTCAAGTCCTTTTTGCTAATTTCTGTTAAATTTGGTAAATGTTTTCTGTAAAAGGTCTAAGCAAGTGATTGAACAAATTAAGAATTTTGCTACTGTGTTAAAAAAAATGTTTTGAGCTTTTAATTTGAAATGTTTCTTGATGATCTCCAATTTTCAAGCACCAAACTAAATAGAGATTGACAATTAGAAGATCAACATGAAACAGTTTTTCCTCTATTATTTTCCTTTTTTTTCATGCAGATAGAATCCCATACTCGCAGAACTCTAATTATGCCACAATTTGGCATGTTATAATACATAAATTAATCATGATGTGGCTGAATTTGAAACTCGAAGAGCCCACTTGAAGAAGGCTGGGCTCCTGATAAATAGATTTACAGCCTAATACCATTCTGCGCTTCTGGTAAATAGAATTATAACCTAATACTCTGAAGTATTTTACAGCCTTCCTTTGAAAGGTTTCAAAATGCTTTTCTAACAACAATAATAAAGTAATCCTAAAACACAGTTGAGAGATTCTTATCTACAGAGAAGGTTAATACTTGTCAAGGTGAAGTAATTGACTTGCTTAAGGTCAGAGAGCAAACCTGGAGGAGTAGGAAGAAGCCAGTCGCTATGCCTTTGCCATTCAATGGGTCTGCTCATCAAGCTGTATCCATGGCACTGGCCCAGGACAGTTAAAAACACTGTATGAAGGTTGCCGGGTGGTCAACCTCCAGTACTAGAGGTAGAAAGCACTTCTAAAATTAGCTGACACAAGAAAATGTTCTAGTTGTGAACTTTGCAATTGTCCTTAATTACTCTGAGGTTATGACTAATATTCTTACGCAAAATGTTCTGGGTGGAATTTTTCCAGTTTTGTGTCAAACCTCTTAGGGCTACAGCGGTTGAGAGAGTTCCTAATTATGAAGGATTTTCCAGTCTATATGGATTGTTTCCAGGCAGTTTTGAATAGCACGGGTTTGAACTTATTTTTTCCTCCCTGTAACAAACCTGCTTTCCAGGTGGGGAATGGATGCACAGAAGAACTTGTTGGAGGTCACTCTGGACTGAATTCTGGTCTCCTGCATGAGTGCTCTGTCAACAGCTACACCATGCTCTGTCACCAGGTCATTCTCTCTTATCAATTCTGCTATCTATGCACAAAGACACATTATAGGAAAAAGAATATTTTTCTGAGTTATAAAGCTTCCAAGTGTGAGGCCAGCAAAGAACTAGGGCAGCCTGTTCAGGTCCAGTATCCATAATATGCTGAGATGTGCAAGAGTTTACTGGTCCTTATATAGGGACCTAGAAAAATTCAAACTCAAAGGCAATCACGTCTGAGAAGAAAAGTAACCTACTAGCATGAATGAAGAGAACTCTTAGCCTAAGAAAGGGAAACAAGAAGGGATGATAGCTGAATTATAGAATTATAGAATTGTTCGGGTTGGAAAAGACCAACCGTTAACCTAACCCTGCCATCCCACTGCTAAATAATCTACAATATCAGAGAAGAATGGGGATATTCACAAAAGCTAACCTAAGCCTACTGAGGCTAATGAGCAAGACATTTTTTATAGTTAAAAGATAAATTCCTCTCCAGGGTGATTACCAGCAGAAACTTAAATTAGCCGTCATTATAGAGGTAAACAAGGGAGATCAGTTAGCCTTTGTAACAGCCTTGGCCTTTACTGTATCTCTGCTATAGAATTTTATTAACTTATTTTTAATACACCAGTTCAGTGGTTTTGGAGTAATGTTTGCATATTTCTACAAAACCAGAATTATTTCATCCCTCTTACATCTTACAGGAAAATACAAATGTACCAAACAAGGAGTTTGCAGCCTCCTTTCTCACTGGAGCTCTGTGCCCTGTTCCCAGAAGAATGAATTCCACTGCAGGAGCACAAGTAGAGCACCAGCAGCGTTTTGCCGTGCCAACTTCCAAACTTGGGGCTCTAGAGATTTTGATAGAACAGTTGAACTGAAAATCATTAATTTTATGAGCATCCTAGAATTAGTCGTAGGACATCATCTTACCCTTAACTGGCAGGGAAGTGTGCAGGAAAACTCAGGACAGTTTTATTCCCCAGGTGGTCTAAAAGCCTCAACAGAGCTTTTTTAGTCGATAGGAGTGTTGCTCGTTAGAACAGGGTGCGAATTTCACCCTCTGATTTTGCACTTAACATTTGGAAGCACGCTGGTTAAGATTTTCACATTCCTTTCTGTCTGTCCATAGTTAGGCAATACTAAAAGTTTTTAACTTTTTTTGAGAAATAAAACTCAGATACGGAAAAAAAATGAAGAAAACTGGGCTTATTGGTATATCGTGCACAGAACATATGTCTCACCAAGTCAACCAAAAATATACACTTTGTAAACTGTGACTGCCTGCAAATAACCTGGAGATACCATAGGTCACAACTGATCAGAATCGCTTTCAAGCAGCTTTTGATTTTGTTTTGCTCTAATCTCACAAGAAGGTTAGTGTGTCATCTTATATTTCTACCAATTACACAAGTTTGAATCAAAGTGACTTTTGTGACACTGCAATAAAATTACACGGCAAGACCATCAGCAATCTCTGATAACATTGATATATTAAATCCATTACAGCCTGTTTGCTAAAATACTCTGGAAATGTCGACTTATCACACAGACGGAAGAAAAATATGGGTGAAAATACTGACCACAGACAAAAAAAGGCATCTGAAACTTGTTTTGTAAATGAAAGAGATTTTGTCTCCAGCTCCAGATATAAAACCACATCTTTTGAAAACAGGGACAGTGAAAGAAATGTATTGATTTTCAAACATATATATTATTGAAATGGAAATTGTATTTGATAGTTTTGTCCAAAATGAACTGTAACCTCATTATCAAAAAGACTGCCATTATGAAATCAGGTAGCAGTACAATTAATATGCATAGACTTTAATTTCATGAATATTTTCACTGTTACCCATATTTATTTTTTAATTTTGCAAGATAGGCACACATTTCCAGTAAGAAGTGGTGTATCCTTTCAATACTACTCTTTTTTTTTTTACGATCCTAAAAATGTGATAGCTAAAAGATAAAAGAAAGTATCTTGTGGAGGGAGAATTTGGAGGTGATACAAGATTTTTATAACAAGTCAAAATATTACTATAAACACCAGCTCGGAAACTGATTTTTACTTCAAAAAAAAAGCAAGAACAAACCATGTTAGGCATTAAAATTAGTTATGCTTGAAACAAGTGACTTACCTTATCAGAAAAGTCAAGATCTAGAAAGTTTTCTTGCAATGGCAAATAGCTATGAAGGCTTGTTAAGAGATAAAAATGGTGATTCAAATGTCACAAGAAACAGCGCACGCTTTTACTGTTGGCTTCATCTTTGGAGTAAACAAGATTAACCCTCATCGCGTAACAAAGGAAACCCCAAACAATCTTCCCGTAAATAAATGAGTGAGACAATTAATACAACGAAAACAATTGTATCCAAAATGTGCTATTGTGTGATATTTCTTTTGGTAGAGAAAATAATTTGATGTATGTGTAGAATTCTGCATCTAATTTAATTAGCAGCTCTGTGTGTGAAGGAAAGAGTCCTGCTCAAAATGTTAAATAGGTACCTTGTATACTACCCCACTTAACCATTATCAAATAAAGGAAAAATGGAAAAGAGCCTCGATACTCACATTTGGTTTTAAGCTGCTTCTCTTGGTAACTTGTGCAGCAAAATAAAGGAAGGAATAATTACACGTCTTCAGAGAAACAAGCATTCATCAAGTCCAAAAGAAACAGAACACTTTGCCAGAGCTATTTGAGGGTCCCATCAGAATTTGGCTGGATGGAGGAAGGCTGAGGGTCAGTTTGTTTCCCTTAGACCTCATGACATGCAAATAGCTGGCTGCCTCACCACGGAATCAAATCATTCTTTGACATATTGTGTTTACAAACTGCAGATACATACCATGTAGGAGGGTCTTAAAGGAACATATTTCAGAGAGCTGTCGAAAGGAAAAAGGCACTTCTGTTAAAAAAGTAAAGAATCAAACACACACACCCCCCAACGCCCCAAACTGTTTAGTACAAGGAAAAAAGAAAAACAAAAAAAGACAAAAAGAAAAAAAAATCCAAGAAAAAACACAGATGGATCATAATTCATTCCCAGATACACTTTGGTCCATGCATAATGAATCCAAAAGACCTCCTGTGGGCTTGCAAATCAGAAAAGAAATAAAAGTCGTGATTTCCAAAGTCTGACTGTTGTGTATAGGAAATGGGGGGCAGGAAGAAACACTTTTCCAGTTTCCGAAAAGACTTTTGGGGACCAGCAGAACCCCTCTGACTGGGCTGGAATAATTCGCCATTCTTCCAGCGGGCAGGAAGGTGCTCATTCATGTGGTGTTACCATCAGAGCGGCAGGAGCAGCCTCCTCTAGGTTCTCAGTATTTCTCAGTTCTGGCCTTCTTTGAATTGCAGTCAGCTCTTTTGCCTTTTGCTTGGACAGAGCAGGGGCCAGCTTTCACAGTCTGCCACATGCATAGAGCGTACAGAAGTGCTTATACTTTGCATAAAACTCTATGCAGACCTGTAATCAATCGCAGTGGAAATTAAGGATATTGTCTCCATTTAAAAATGCAGGCTGAAGTTAAGCGGAGTGAAAAAAAAAAAAGAAAGGATTGCTGCTTGTGCTATGAACCACAACTGACTTCCAGGCAGATTTTTCCACAACCAAGAGCCAATAGATCTGAATCATTCACTCTATAATGTCAAGTGGGTCAGAACTGTTTTATATCACAGATAGAAGAAAGAAAGAATGAAATGTTTAAATGGTCTAAAGATCTGTTATGCTACCTGAAGACATTGGTAAAATTGCCATATCTGGACATGTTCTGGAGGTTCTCCGTGTCTAAGTAGTATCTTGCAATTAAGACTGATCCTCTGATTATTATTGCCAAGAACTGACCATCTGTATTTGCGGCTGACTGGTTTATTAAACTTCTGCGGACACTTATTTTGTTATGTACTTAAACTAGGTTGAACTCTTTTCTCCTATTTTTATACGAGTTATACCAAGTTTATTTCTACCAAGTGCTTTCCAAGCTTGTGATTATTGCAGATTGAGGAGAGGACAAGTTAGGTGTGAATTTGAGTCCAGAATGAGAATCATGAAGAGCTTCCTCTTGCCTTTGCTTCCAGAAAGAGAAAATGGAAAGTACAATTCTTGATCAAGTACCTTCTGAAGTTCACAAATCAGGGCACGACAAAAGTATTACCCAAACAGATCTCTCAGAAGAGCTAATGACACCTAGAAACACTTGTAATGCAATCCGTTCTTTCCGGAAAGGATGACAAATGTAGACACCTCCTCCAGCACATCAATTCCCTTAAACTTCAAAGCCTACCCTCAAATTTGTCTAGCTGTAGGTAAAGACCATAACTATGTTAACAGAAGACACACCCAGAGAAGCATTTAGAACAGAACCAGAGGTTTTGCCAATGGGTGCAAATTGAGCACAAGTCAAGGGGTCAACAAAAATTCTGCTGCTTCTCCAGGGTATCAGTTACATGATGTCTCCTGCAGCTCGCATGTCTCTTCCTGAACTTCCTGACGTAGAAAGCAGCTTATTTCGTCTGTCCCCAGACGTGACCTGTGCTGACCTAGCTTCCTCTTCATATTGAGGATTTGGGAAATTCATCAAACACATGGTGTTTCTCTTTAAACTACTCAAGTTGCGCTTCCCAATTCAGATTATTATTTTTTTTTAATTAAAAAAAAAAAGCTATGTCATTCCTTAACAATTCCTTAAAAAAAAAAAAAAAAAGATAAATAAATAAATAACTTGCTTTCCTGAGAAAACATCTTTGGCACTTACTGAGTATGTTCTGTTATTTGGGTCAGCAGAGAAAGGAATTCTACTCTCACAAGTATCCTGTTTATCCAAAAGCTTCATAAAATTACTATTTTCTATGTTTAAAAGTACAATCATCGTTCAAAAAGTTTGAGTAGCACATATTTGGAGGCTCAAAAAGCACTCAAGGGAAAAATTACTACATGCCTTGTTCTTATATTCCTCCCCAAGCATCCACTTTTGGCCCCTGCTGGAGGCACAAATCTGGGTTACACAGACCGTCGATCTGACCCAATACACCCTCGTGTCTTCTGCAAGGGTACTAAACTTCCTATTAAAAAAAATCCCCCAGATCTACCCACTTTTGTAGAAATTTCCATTTTCCTGGCCTAAGGAAAATGTAACTGTTACTTACTAGAAAAAAATTTCAAGGAGTAGCCTCCTTGTGAGCCTACACATAGAAGTTTTGTCTGAACAAGCTGCAAGATGGATTCACGCAGACCACAAATCCCAGTGCTATTACTTAGAAACTTGTGTCCTTTATTTTTTTTTTTTTGGTAAAGAAGCTGCGGAACAAGAGTGTTGGAAAGAAGGCTGCTAACAGAGCAACAGTTTGCTTACTGCCAGCAGACCTGCAAATAACCAGCTACCAAAGTCACATTTTGCCACTTAAAAACTTTCTCACCGTTGCTGAGAAAGGTGTTATTCTACCTATGGCTAATGCACCCATTCCAATTTGCTGAGAGTAGCAGCAAATGAGGCTATGAGATGCATGTTTATAAATAATTGTGTGTATGTACATACATACACGTCAGCTTTCGGAGACCATAAAAATATAATGGTGGTGTTTAAGTACCATAGGTGAAGGGCCATGAGAGGCTGACACTAAATACTTAAAACCAAAGCAAAAAGCGTTAATTTATATACTTGGTATTGCCTTTCATTTTCCTAGATACTCCAAAGGGCAGTTTTGTTTTGTAAGCTGAACCTCTGATTTCTAAGACAAAATTTCTTTTCCTCCTGCATACATTCCTCCCAGGAAAAACCCAATGGACTAGCAAAATATTCAGGAAATTGTGCATATTCCTTTTCTTTCTCTTTTAAAATACTTCCATATCATAAACTAAAGATTGATTTTCCACATATAAGAGACAAAAAAATCTGGCAAGGTTTTCCAACCGATGTCTCCTTGAATTCCAATAGTAGCCAGAAGATGAATTTTAGTGCTTCCCTTGTATCTACGTCAAAGAGTATGTATTATCATTCTTATAACATTGGCTACAATATAGCAAGTCTAACACATGCTATCGTAAATTTTAGAAGTAGTTCATTATTATTCCAGCATAAAACAGTATCCAACAAAAAATACAGGGACACTGAGAATGGCATGTTAAATCAAATGGTGCATATTACCAATTGCTGTTTGAAAGCTGCCAGTTGCAAGATGATCAACCACTGGTTAAGTCAAGCATTTTAAATACTTCATCATTTAATGTTATTAAAATAATTTCATATTTGCATACAGAATGTCATATGGCATATTATTTACAAAATAGATCAATGTCATATAAAATTGTTTACATTCAGTATAGGAACTTAATTATTCTGGCTAAGTAACAAGAAATTAAACCCATTCCCTGTATGCAAACTCTATTTCTTAAACAAGCCTGAATATTTTTGATCTCTTACTCCTCCTTGTCCTTTACTGTCAGCTATAATAGCCTCCAGCCCAGGAAAGAGAACCAACTACCTTTGCTTCTGCCTTACAACGAGCAAACCGGTTTGCCTTACGGTTGGTAAAAGACGAGCATTGATGGGACCATCGTTAAACATTACTGCCTTTTAGATATGCATAAAATTCAATTTTTTACCTTACCAAAATCAACCTAACCTTGGTTAAGCTGTTCCTGAGCTTCCATACATGGCCTCTTCAACTTTAATTTGTTGCAGTTTCAGGCTTGGGTGTATTTATGATTAAGTTTATTGAATACATGAACTGTTGGAAAACAGAAATATTTGAAAAGAGCAGGGCTTGCACAGAATTTGCTTTCTTTCAGCATCAAATAATTTTGGCAAGAATGGGTGAATGAGGTTTTTAGTGAAAAGAACTCTATTTCTTGCCTTACTACTCAAATTTGATTTTATGCAAAAGCCTGAAATTACACATGTGAAATCAATGGGCATTACTGAAGTAATACATCTAAAATATTTCTGGTTTGAAAATTATCATCTCTTGAAAATAAGTTAGAAGTACATTTGACATACAAGAATTAAGTCATTAATAGTGGCAGAATTGTATTTTACACATTTTTCCACTGTCCTGGAGACATAAAGTACCGCTCATGTAAAAATAAGGCTGGTAAAAAACTTGAGAGAAACACTTTAGCAAATTTTTCGGTCTATAAAGCTTATGTAGAAAGTTCATAAACTAAATTCTTTTCAAGAAACTCAGGATAAACAGAATACCACAAGTTCTCTCAAGGAGCTGACAGAATGCAAGCAAGTGCTTCTAACTGCTATGGGAACTGGACTAAGATCTTAACATGTCTGCTGAAGGAACATATAGCATGTAAAATATGGCAGGTGTAACTCCTGAAGTACCAATGCAAACGGGTATCACCTTGTCTGTCCGAATTACAAGTTTTAAATGAACTGCTATTATGGACATAACATAATACATTAATAGCATGAGTGTACTGATTTTCATAAGCTTTCAATAGCATTTAGAAACTCACATTAGTACTGGGTCACTTCTCTTAAGTTTAGCAACACACACTTGTACTCCAATGCTTTTACTGCTGCAGTCCAGGGAACAGAAGCTGAAAACATCCACTAACGATACAAAAAAGTAAAGATGGCCTTTCATTGGTGTACTATTAGGTATCAGTATACATTTCAAATATGGTATTTGAAATTAAGATACA